CTTTGCACTGAATCACGTGGCCAGTTGTCAGTATTAGTAGCTGGCCACTTGAACAATCATTGCTCATTAGCAGCATCTTTGATGAGCAACACTAGATTGTTTTTAAAAAAAAATCAGTTTTGTAATACATTCAGCTGTACAACTGTTGTGACAAGTGAGAGAGTATTAAATTAAATGTTTCTTTGCAAAAATATGACAACTGGTTTAAATCCTGTTAATTGAACCATGAGGAAAGGCTCACATTTATATAATGCCTTATCCCACGCCCTAAACATCTTGAACAGTGGATTACACTGAAGTGCAGAGCCTGCTGCAATATTGGTAACCATTACAGTCCTATCACACACAATAAGATCCCAAAACACCATGCATGAGACGTATGGGGAGGAATGTTGGCTAAGACACAAGGTGAATTTCCGGTTCTAATTTGAGTGCCACCAATAGGATCCATGCAAAGCGGCCATGAGACCTGGGTTTGATGTCTCAGACATGAGACATACCTCTCTCACAGTGCAGTTCACCCTCAGTACTGCATTGCAGTGTCAATGTGATTTATGTAGCCATAGACCAGGAGGGGGATTCATATCCAACAGCTTTAGATTCAGCTGTAATGCAGCTTCCAACAGAGCTGAGGGTAATCCTCTATGGCACGCTTCCTGCAGTCTTCCACCTGTTAATATTACAGAAAGTGTTCCCATTCTGTGCAGCCTACGGAAGCGTTCCTGCTGGGTCCATTATATTCACTCAGTTGTAATGTGAAAGCAACAAGTGATGGAAACAGTGTATTGATCACGGGCTGATGAGATTGCACTCTGCCATGGGTTGGCACAAGATGGGATTGCACTGTGCAATGATCTGGTACAACATAGGATTGCACTGTATTAGGATCTGGTACAACATGGGATTGCACTGAGCCATGATCTGGTACAACATGGATTTGTACTGTTTTAGGGTCTGGGTACAGCATGGGACTACACTGAGCCGTGATCTGGTACGACATGGGACTACACTGAGCCGTGATCTGGTACGACATGGGATTGCACTGTGCCGTGATCCGGTACACCATGGGATTGCACTGTGCCGTGATCCGGTACAACACGGGATTGCACTGTGCCGTGATCTAATACAACACGGGATTGCACTGTGCCATGATCTGGTAAAAACTGGGATTGCACTGTGCCATGATCCGATACACCATGGGATTGCACTATGCCATGATCCGGTACAACATGGGATTGCACTGTGCCAAGATCCGCTACAACATAGGATTGCACTGTGCCATGATCCGGTACAACATGGGATTGCACTGTGCCATGATCCGGTAAAAACTGGGATTGCACTGTGCCATGATCCAGTACAACACGGGATTGCACTGTACCATGATCCGGTACAACACGGGATTGCACTGTACCATGATCCGGTACAACACGGGATTGCACTGTACCATGATCTGGTACAACACGGGATTGCACTGTACCATGATCCGGTACAACACGGGATTGCACTGTACCATGATCCGGTACAACACGGGATTGCACTGTACCATGATCCGGTACAACACGGGATTGCACTGTACCATGATCCGGTACAACACGGAATGGCACTGTGCCATGATCCGGTACAAATTGGGATTGCACTGTACCATGATCCGGTACAAATTGGGATTGCACTGTACCATGATCCGGTACAAACTGGGATTGCACTGTGCCATGATCTGGTACACCATGGGATTGCACTGTGCCATGGACAGGGCATTCAAATATTGCAGTTTAAACCTGTCCTGGATAATAGGAGTTGTACAAATGGGGAAAGAAGTTTACAGCTTAACTAACCCTTTGGATGAGATTCCAGTCCATCAACACAGTCAAGAAGCAATGGCAAGATGCGCGGCCAAAATAACTTTGGCCAGTCCAACAAGCCTGACCCAGATTATTGAGCTGCCTTCAGTAACACAATTCATAACAGCAGTTCTCCAACTCCCTACAGCCTCACCACCTTGCAGAAGTTAAGAAAAGGATAAACTCAAGGCCAATTGAGGGGTAAGAAAGTATGCAAGCCATCCTTGGGTGAGCTCTCTTTTCCTCCAACCAGCAAGCCGGCCTAGTTACAAATTGTAACATTGTAAAACTGCAACACTTTCAATATCTGCCATGGATGAAATCACTACTTTTGCATAAAGCATGAACCAAAGCAAGGTCTCAGCTACTCACTGGGTCACAGGGGAATTGCACCATCAAAGAATTTAAGAGATTTAATTAGTATTAATACTTCCATTTTCTATAATAGTCTTTAATTCAATTACAAACAGAATAAGCCTCTTCACTCTGGGACAAATAATATGGAAATATAATCCCATCTTTAATTCTCATACAAGATGAGCAAAGGTTAAACAGGGATTCTACTCACTGGAGTTTCGAAGAATGAGAGGTGATCTCATTGAAGCATACAGGATTATTAAGGGGCTTGACAGGGTAAATGCTGAGGGGTCTCATGGGAGAGTCTACGTCCAGAGGGCATGGCGTCAGAATAAAGAGACACCAATTTAAGACTGATATGAGGAGGAATTTCTTCTCTTTGAGGGTTTGGAGTCTTTAGAACACCTTGCCACAGAAAGATATGGGGGCAGAGTCCTTATGTATACTTAAGGCGGAGGTAGAAAGGTTCTTGATCAGTCAGGGAATCAAGGGTTAAGAAGAAAATGCCAGAAAGTAGATATGAAGAATGTCAGATCAGCCACAATCCTATTGATTTGCGCAGCAGGCTCGAGGGGCCGAATGGCCTACTCCTGTTTTTTTTTGTAAACGTATGATTGCAAGTGTCTGTTGAAAATGTTTGTTCTTCAGGAAATGGCAATGTCAACATGACGTTTTCCTCTGGAATTTGTTTTTGGTAAGTCAGGGGTGACTTGGCAATCTGAAATGGAGACAGATCCTATCTGAATGAGGAACATCTGCCCCGCAGGTTAGACTAACGCTTGATTGTGTGTTAAATAAGAACCGAAAGAAATGCGGATGAGGAAGGGTCACCGGACCTGAAACGTTAACTCTTGTTTTTCCCTTCACAGATGCTGCCAGATCTGCTGAGCTTTTCCAGCAACTTCTGTTTTTGTGCTTGTTTGTGTCTAATCTCACTCCCCGCTTCCCTGGATTAAACAACCAGTGTACCCACACGATACAGCCATAACGTGGCAATTTGCAACAACTCTTTGTCAGCTCTTCGATCCTCTGGCCTCCGACATCTTTAAGGATGTTTTGGGGGAGGCAAGTGGGAGGGGTGGGGAATGTACAGGAGTACCACTACCCCCAGGTTCCCTTCCAAGTAAGCTTAACTGTTGCTGAGTCAAACTAACAGTTCCAATCATAAGTTAATTAATGTTAAGTAAGTTAAGTAATTAATGACAAGTCAAAACACAAAGCGGGAGCTATAACACTTGATAAGCATGTATCGACAGTCAACGCTTATGCGTCACAGCTTAAAATGGCCCAAACTTTATTTCAGTGCTTTGTAAAAGTTACTTTAGGGAAATATCCTTTAGGGAAGGAAACTGCCCTCCTTACCTAGTCTGGCCTACATGTGACTCCAGACCCGCAGCAATGTGGTTGACTCTTAACTGCCCTCTGGGCAATTAGAGATGGGTAATAAATGCTGGCCTGGCCAGCGACGTCCTCATCCCGTGAATGAATAAAGGAAAATCCTGGAGCTCCCTTACAAGATTGCAGGAGCTTGACGCCAATGCCTGCAGTGGTCCAAAATGGTCAACCGTCCCAGGAGGGGAGTGTGGGGATGGCCCATTTCCTGTGCGTGGATCAAGTGCTGTCTTTCAGGAAGAATAGAGGCAGGAATCTGTCGGTTGTTGGGTCACTGTATGAGGTGCCAGTCCTATACGACGCAGGCAAATGCTGTTGCGATGCACAGTGGGCTCGACAACTTCAGCAAAAGTTAAATATTTTGTTGCAAGACTAACAATGGGACCCACGCAACAAAATGTCACCTCTCTTTGCCAGTATCAGTGATTTGCAGTGCATTGACAGCATTGACTATCCCTGGAATTTGGGTTGGATCACATAATGACACTGATTCTCAGTCCAAAAGGACACAAACCCAGTATTTTGTTGGAGATTTGTTTCAAAAATCACTATTCAACAACACTCCAATTTCTGCAAAGTGTCCACAACTATGCAATTTCAGGCTTGGTAATTTAATCTTTGCAACCTTAATTCGGGGTTGCACAAATCCATACGTCCACTCTATTAAGTTATTGCGTATTCATTAAAGATATATAATCATTGCTGGAATTTCAGCAGGTTTTGTTGCATCCTTGAGCTAAAATGCTCACTGTACAGGAAGTAATTAATGGTTATCATTATTTAAATTTTTACAATGAATTGTACAGCACAGGAGGCGACTATTTATTCCACTGAGTCTGCACCATATTTATATATATTGTGCTGCAATTCTGCTGTCTATATGCATGTCCTGTCAGAAATCTTACCTCCTATTCACTGCCTTTCCCATGTCGACATTTTTTATTATATTTCTGTGTCTCTGTAAAGAAACTGCCTATGTAAACTTTGCAAAGTGTCGTTGGGCCCTCCATCTACTGGTGGTGCTATATCACAGCAATGCAGCCTCTAGTGCAGAGAAACCTCTTGGCACCAATCAGCTCCAAATGTTTGGCCCAGTTCTTTGATATTTAACTAAGAAAAAAAACATCATTTATATCATAAGGGCAGAATGTGAGAACTTATGATTGGGACTGAATTTTACCCCCAAGCCTTGGTCCAATTATTAACCCTTCCTCTAACCCCATCTCACCTGAAGACTACACTTGGTCTACATTCTCCACGGGCCACACCACAGCATGTTGACTAGAACTAACCTACAAAATGATAGATAGAGCATTACAATTGTATTGTAATCCTCAGCAACAGTGTATTCTACATTTGGCAAGTGACAGCCACATTTCACTGCAACAAATCCACAAATGTTCAAGCACTTACCAAACCATGCGTGCTGGTCTCCCTGGACTTCGATTGCCAATCCGAAATCGGCCAGCTTCACTGCGGCATTTTTACATTTACTGGCAAGTAGCAAGTTCTCTGGCTTTGGAGGTGGCGAACCAAAGCCGTTAGAGGAAAATGATGGAATTAATAAGAGAAGTAATTAATGACAAGTCAAAACACAAAGCAGGAGCTATAACACTTGATAAGCATGTATCGACAGTCAACGCTTATGCATCACAGCTTAAAATGGCTCAAACTTTATTTCAGTACTTTGTAAAAGTTAACCAGTGCATTGGTTCAAGGCATGCCCCTTTACTGTTCAATCCATGAGTATTTAGATGTTCAATTGTTGAAGTAGAACTTAGAGCCAGAATGATCATTTTCTTTTGCCAATTTGTGACACACACACACATCAATTTCCAAATTTATTGATCTGCTCGATGTAGCCCACTCTTGCCCTCACCAGCACCAAAACGCAAAGATTGTGGTCATTGAGTTCGTTCCTGTGATCAAATGCCACAGAAAGCTGGTGCCTAGTGTGTTTATCCCCATCAAACCCAAATGCCTTGGGATCTGGGCAAATATCTCAACCCATGGCAGGGCTGTGAACAAGCAAAGCCCAATCCCCAGCAGCATTCCCCTCTCCCAAAACCCTGAGGAAAAAGGGGCAACAATAAATCATTCAGCTTTGGGCTGCCAAACTCCTAAACCTATGAAACAAAATTGGAGGTCCCACTGACCACTACTGCAGCTGATGACTTACAAGAGTCATTTAACACTCCGAGTGCCAAATACCTATTTTGCAGCTTTTAGAATCAACACATTCCAAGTATTCCCCACCCTCAGCCACTAACGGTGGATGTTGGGAATTCTTAATCTCTCTGAACTGATCCAGAAAAGTAATTGTTTCTTGGCAAATTGAGCTGTCATACACAAAATGGGTCGATTTTGCAAACCCCTGCCCTCATTCCCCAAAGTTCACTGAAGCTGAGGTCCTCAAAGCGTTAATGCAATGAATAACAAAGGCACCAACAAGTGCAAAGCCAGCACAGGCACGCTAGGGGGCAGGGCAGTTATATGTTTGTACAGGCAAATAGACTCCGAAAACTGGAGTGCACCTACTTCTTGAAACTGTCATTTTATTGTTTAATAATGTGCAATTAAAAACTCAAATAAAAATCCTGAGGTACTTTGACATGTTTTCTGCAACTTAATACTAAAGGGACATTTCCAGAAATGTCACTTCTCCTTGCCTTAAATGTGCAAAAATATGAACTTACAACCATCTCTTCATTTCTGCAATAAACAACATGTTATGTTTGTTATGCTTGATAATTATACCCTGCTATGGTTCAGAGCTGAAAAGCCTCACACTCATGAGTGCATTGCTCATTTTTACATAAATCTGATTTGAAAATAGCCTTGAATTTTAGTAGCAACTTGTCACGTCACTTCGGACGCACAGTGACCGTTGTTATGCCAGCTAAAGAGCAAGACATTTTTATTAAAAGGAAGAAGCAAACCACAGCAAAATGCAGGGCTAGTTAATTTGGTTGTGGTTTCTTCAGGGAGGAGTAATGGCCTCGAAATCTTCTTTGAAGGGTACTATGAGTCTACCTCAATTGCAGTGTAATATTTTTCCTGACTGATGACCTCAATCAGCACAAACACTACGTAAAGGGCCACAATAGGTTAATTGCAATAACATTTGATTGTGACTTTTGTGTACAGAATTATTTCTGAATGAAAGAAAAAACAATCATCAAAGCTCTTTGGACTCATCACAACAAATGCAAGAAAATACAAATTTCAACAGGGAGCAACAGTTTGACAACCAATCAGCACCCCTTTTCTCATGCAGTAAAAATTGCTGTTCCCTTTGAAATTTGGTATTCTTGCATCTGTCCTGATAAGTGCAAGATGAAAGCTTTCATGTTATGCACTGTTTTTCAGTAATAATGTTTGACTTGAGAAATAATCATGTATGCTTTTAATTGGCTTATCATTGACTCAAGATAAGTTGCATCTGCACCCGAAAGCACCTCAGAATTCATTTTATCCTCTGTGATGGAGATTAATGTGTGTTCTTTTTTTCCCCCAACTGGTGAGTAAATCTAGCAAATATTATACACCTTTTTATCTACATAGCACATGTTTTGGGTAAAAGCACACATTCAGTACAGCAATACAAATGTAGTACAGTTGTATGCCAAGGGGGTGAGAACGTCAAATGAATAGAATTTGGGCTAATTGATTTAATAGATACACGGAGTGCACGCACATAAAATAAGCTTCCAGCGCTTATGTGACAGTCCATCAAGAAATACGAAGCCAGGATTCTCAGTCCTGCCCTGGTGCAGCTTACAAGACTGTTAAGTTATGAAGGGGCTATTACGAGATATAAAACATGACATCCGTCCCGCTGAAGGAGGGAAGGCAATGGGACAGCTCTCCTGATTTATGTTGCTAATTGCTGCACTTCTTCTGGAGCGTGAAATACAAGACCAGGCTGGCAGGAGAACTGCTTGGCCATTACTATTGATCCCGGTGCAAGAAAGAGACATTAAGCATGTACACTGGGTGAGCCAGCATGCTGCATTCAGCTGTCTATCATGAGCAATAACTCAAAGCGCCTGTGGGACCGTAACACTACCCATGCAGGAAATTTCAAGCCAAGGATTCTTAACAGTGCAGGGCAACAGATAACATGCAGCAAGGTTACATTTTTTTTTCCCCAAACCAAATGATTGCATTCCTACGTCGTCTTGAGAAGATACTGACCTTGAGGTCTCTGTGCACTATGTCATGTTGGTGAATGTGATTAACACTCTCTAGAATCTGATGAATACATTGACTGTAAAACAAAAGAGAAAGGAGGAGATAAAGGGAAGGAGGACAAGAGGGGAGGGGGGAGAATCGAAAGGGCAAGAGGTAAGGAATGGGATGGGGGGAAGAAAGCAAAATTTTCATGAATGTCAAGGTACTGCAGAGACAATAAATAGTCACAGTCTGTAACGAACTGTACTCAGGATTCTTGGCCTTAATAAAACAACTGATATCTGGCAACTGTAAACCTGAACAAACCCACTGAGAATCTGGTCTGCAGAACTGTTAGAGAAACAACAATCTTTCAATTACAAGACTCTTGTAAACTATTAATCTTCTACTCATTACTACAGATGTCTACTCAACGTTCCAATGCAGACATGGCCTGTTCGAGGAGCTCGGTTAATTTCCAACCATCTCTTACATGAGTTCACACCTTTCTACCGTTTGGACCATCGCTCCTTTTCATTTGACAACACAGCAGACAGTTTACAAAAATCTAAGCTTCAGCCAAAACATTCACAGGTATTTAACCAAATGGAATTTTGAAGCTTTGACAAATGGAGCTTTCAATGTGGTGATGGTTTGAAGAGAACGCAAGGAGGCTGTGAAGCAAATAGGCAGGTTACAGGAGTGTGTAACAACATGGCAGATGTAATGTAATGTGGAGAAGAATGAAGTTCTCCTCATTTTAAGAAAACAGCAGGACACTTTTTAAGTGATGAGAGACTGAAAAGTGTCAGTGAACAAAGAAACCTGGGTATACTTGCAACCAAATGACAGGAACTGCATAACAAGCAATTAGGAAAGCAAATGATGTTAGCTTTTATTAGAAAGGGATTGGAGTACAAGAGTAAAGTCATCTTACTGCAATTGTATAGGGTCTTGGCTAAATTACTCAGGTACCCTGCTCCAGTCTCCTTAACCATGAAAGCTTAGAAAAATGTGCAACAACTGATGCCTTGCAGGAGGGAGTTGTTTTAGGAAGAAAGACAGAGTAAATGAGAGGTTGCACTTGTTGCTGAAACTGATGGTTGCAGGGTGATATTAACCAGTGGTTTGGTTCAGTGGGCAGAAAAGGCAAATGGAATTCAATCTGCAGAAGTGTGAGGTTGTGGGGTTCGGGAGAGCGTACAAAATGGGAATGCACAATTAACAAGAGGACATTGAGAGGAGGAGACTGAGTACAAGAACTTGGAGAACACACCCTCAGGTCCCTGAAGGTGGCAGGACAGGTAAATGAAGCACATGGGATGCTTTCCTTCAATGGGGAAGTATTGAATGCCAAGGCAGGGGGGTAATACTAGAACTTTGTAAGATACAGGTTAGACCACAACTGGAATTGTGTGTACAGTTTGGTCACTAAGGTTACAAACGCCCCAATGAAAGTACAGTGGAGATTTGTTGCTTGGACTTAAAAAATTCAGCTATCAGGAAAGGTTGCAGGGCTATGGTCATTTTCCTGACAACACAGGAGACTGAGGGGTGACTTGATCAAATATAAAATCATGAGGGACATAGATAAGGTGAATGACAAGGATCTTTTTCCTCGGGTGGGGAAGTTCAAAACTAGGGGGCATATTTTTAAGGTGAGAGGAGGAAGGTTTAAAAAGGACATGAGGGGCAACCTTTTTTTAACACAGAGTGGTGTGTGTATGGAATAAACCTCCAGAGGAAATGGTGGTTGCAGGTACGGACACAACGTTTAAGAGACATTTGGATAAGTTCATGAGTAGGAAAGGATCGGAGGGCCAAGCACAAGCAGGTGGGATTAGTGTAGTTTGGGAACACAGTCATCATGGATTGGTCAGATAGAAGGGTCTTATCCATGCTGTATGACTCTATAACTGTAATGAGGGATCGGATAGAGCGGGTAGGGAAGATCTGTTTCCTGTAGTAGATATGTTACTTGCAAGTCAGGGCGCACAGATTTAAACTTTTTGCTAGTAAAAATGGAGGGGACATGAGGAAACACTTTTTCCACCCAGAGGGTATCTGAAATTCTTCACACAGTTTGGACGTTGAGTTGGAAACCTTCATCTCATTTTAAAAGAATCCTGGATCAGCATCTGAAGTACTGGAACCTGAAAAGCTACAAACTAGGTAATGGAAAACGGGATCTTAATGGGTGACTAGTTTATTCAGCTGGTACAGACTCAATGGGTTGAATGGCCTGTTTCCATGGTTCTACGGGACATGACAAAGTTAGATGATGTGTTGGAGCCTCCCCTATGATCGGAGAGACTAGAACGAGGAGGACCACCCTCAGGATAAAGGATCAAGTATGATCAGGAGAAATATCTTCATTAAAGCAATTACAAATGCTGGAATTCTCTAACCCAAAAACCAGTAGATTTTCAGTCTTTGATGGAAGTCAAAAGAGACCTTCTGGATATAACATAAAAGAAAAAAAATTACTGAAGTCAAGGATTGGTTGACTGTTTTTAATACAAAAGGATTTGAGGGATTGCGTAGAAAGGCAGAGATGGGGCAATTGATCAGCCATCATCCCTCCGAATGACTAAGCAGGTTTGAAGCATCAAGAGGTTTATTTTCTATCCAATAGTTATCTCCTTATCCTAACATGGAATACTACTTACCAGTAGTCACAACAGAAATAGTTTTGAAGAGGTTCCTCAATTTTTTGCTATTTAAGTATTGGATAATGGCAAGGATTCTAGAGCCTCTTGATCTCCTGGAATACCCTTGTAGTTGATGGACCTCAAACTGGCGTTCCACAACTCCAGGAATCTGAACTAATCCCAAGTGATCAGACACCTGCACATCTATCATCACCAGCTCCTGATTTGTTTTCTGTCATCGCTGACCTCTTGACAATACTTGCCACTGTTGCACACCTTATAAAATAACTACTTAGAATTAGGTTTTATTGTCACGTGTACCCAAGTACAGGGATACAGGAGTACAGTGAAAAGTGTACAAAGTCACCATTCTCTCGCACCATCTTAGATGCAAAAAAAAAACCAGAATTAACAAAAACAACCCATTTTAAGTACAAAAAAAAAAGGAAATATAAGAAACACAGCCGAGAAGAAAGGGAAACTTAAAGTCTTTTCTCCATAAGGTAAGTGGACCACCATCCCTGAAGCCAAGAGTGTTGCTAACACTGCTACTTTCTGCAATGAGCAAACTTTAGCTAGGAACCCTAGGAATTGAGCCATATGTGCAGTGGCTAAACCGCAACAAATGTGCACGATTTTGAAAATCACAACTGGCAAGATTTTTCTGTGGTAGCTTGCCCAATGGTCAGAGAGCCTTCGTCTTGGTTCCTGACAGTGTTACTGAATCAGGAGCCAAAGTGTTAGCTCTCTCCCTGCACCAAGTTCTTAATGTCTGCCATACAGCCCAAAAACTACTTGTATGAAATGACGAGAGTTATTAAATATAGCAGTAAGGTATGAGAGTGGTGCTGGGTGGAGCATACAACAAACGTTTCATCCAAATCCTTATGGAGAAAGGAACCAGTGATCTCAAGATACCATATTTGGAATTCTGTACAATATATTTTTCCCACAAGTTCACGATAAAACACATTCCAACAGAAGCGATAACAAATCCATCAACAGTAAGCAAAACAAACACAGAGCACATTAATTCCGAGAACTCAAGAATGCCTCAAATATCTTTGATGACAAAAATTTTTACAGAAAAAGTACACAGTAGAGAGGCATCATTTTTTGCTTTCATGGCAATTTTTACTTTTCAATTACTTTAAATTGGCCATAAATTGATAATGACCATGCTTAAAAATTAGAACAATATTGTCTCATTATCGCAAACATTAACCGCTGTATACTTACAATGTTGAACTTTTCAATCATAATGAATTCCATAATATTTGATAAGAGGACTTGTTAGCTCTTACCACAAGTCATCAGAATAGGAATGATCTAATACTCTGTGGAACACAGTATTCCCTTGAGGACTTTGGATGTGAGTACTCAGAGTGTGGGTTTCAAGATTAGATCTTCATGCATCCATCCAATAAATAAGAGGTGAATAATAAAAGAGGGGGAGAAAGTAGGAGAGAGGTTTCAAAGTTCCCAAGGGTGGGTTAGTTGCTTGTTGGTCCTTTCAAAGGCTAACAATAAGATTAGTGACAAGAATGAACCCCTCCTCAGTTTGAACAGTCTTTCCCTGTTGTATTTCTTTGCTCTGTTCCCCACTCTTGTGATCAGTTAGGTTGGTGACTGCACCAAAACAGTCTATTGAATCTTTTTGGCATGGTATTTGCCACACAGAAGCAAGTCATTCAATCAAGTGGTTCTGTGATCCACAAGATCCCTTCCAGCTTTCTTCAATCTCATCCCATCTATCGAGGCGTCTCTTTCGTGCTCGTGTTTACCCAGCTCCTCCTCTAGTGCAATTCAACTCAACTGTTCAAAGTGGTAGCTTGTTTCATTCTGTGGCCATTCTCTGAGTGAAGAAGTTTCTCCTGAATTTCTTGTAGCAGTTACGAGAAACTTACCTTTTATTTATGACACCTTAGCTTTGAATTTCCAATGAGGACTTTCCTGATGGTAGGTAAGAAGTCATCTCCAAGGTCAGATCTGGGGAATCCTTCATATGCCCCTTTTGTTTACATGTCACTGTCCTCTGTGTAAACCCAACCACAAAATCAAAGAATGATGTGGATCTGTTGGTCATTTGAAGTCAAGGGAACTCACCTTTGTACCTCAAACAAACAGGATTTCTCAGCAACATAAAAGGTGGCTTTCTTCGCTAGCTGAAAGTAGATAGGAAACATCTTCAGTGCAGAATCAGACTGCTACAGATGGTGAAATAATCTCTTCATGGATCTTCCATTGAAGCCTTACTCTTGAAACCATAATGCATTTTTATGATGATAATGAGGCAGACTTTGAACTTGGTGCGAATCAATTAAACATTGAGCTCAGAGGTCTCAAAATGCACAACTCACAAATGAGAGGAAAGGCACATTCTCTCTCTCTCTTTTTCATACGCACACAGCAAAGGATCAGTGCTATTGATGCTAATGAAATAGAC